TGACCTCCAAATAACTCTTCAAGGTCAAACCAATGGTATCATCTTATGGCCCCCTCGAAACCACACAACTTTTGTCTAAAACATTTTTGTCTTAAACTTATAGATTTTAAGATATTTCAGTGGATACATTAAAATGGCCCACTCTGTATATATACAGGGTGACCCGCAATGACCGCCCACTAAGTACATAGCGTTATTCCTTACCAAAAACTGAGACGAAAAGTCCTGAGCCATTTTTTTATAACGCTTAATAAAGGAGTTATTTTTGAATAAAATCTAGCCAATCAGCGCTGACCTTTAGCCGGGCGCCCGTCGGTGAGCCGCGTGCCTGGTAGTATGCGGCAGCACACACTTCACGACGCGCAGCTCACCGACGTGCGCCCGGCTAAAGGTCAGCGCTGATTGGCCAGACTTTACTCAATAATAACTCCTTTATTAAGCGTTATAAAAAAAATGGCTCAGGATTTTTCGTCTCAGTTTTTGGTAAGGAATAACGCTATGTACTTAGTGGGCGGTCATTGCGGGTCACTCTGTATATATGTATATATTAGGTCTACCGGAAAGTTCTGTCCGTTTTTGGAATAAAACAAAATACAAATTTTTATTACCGTCAATAAACTTTATTAAATAATGTAATTGCCATTATTATTAATGATTTCTTGCCAGCGTGAGGGCAATTTGTATATCCCATTTTCGAAAAATGTTTTATCTTTTGATGCGAAAAATTGAACCAGTGCTTGTTTGATATCTTCTTCATTTTTTAATTTTTTGCCCCTCAAAAAATTTTGTAAGGACAAAAACAAGTGATAGTCGGTGGGTGCTAAGTCCGGGGAATATGGTGGATGCGACAGAATTTGCCAGCCTAGTTCTGCAATTTTTTGACGAGTATCCAAAGCAGCATGTGGCCTGGCATTATCATGATGCAGTATGATGTTCTTCCTATTGTACATCGCCGGCCTCTTTTCTTGGACTGCTGTATTTAATTTATCCAGTTGCTGACAATACTTCTCCGAATAATGGCAATTACATTATTTAATAAAGTTTATTGACGGTAATAAAAATTTGTATTTTGTTTTATTCCAAAAACGGACAGAACTTTCCGGTAGACCTGATATATGTATACACATTGAGCTATTACTAACCAGAGAGATTATATGACATTTTTCTTCTTTCCTTGAATACGGTAAAGACACAAAGCCATTCTAAACAGCGTAAGATCAGCGTTCATAGTATTAAAATCACAATTAGATTAAAAATCTATATAAAGGTTTCTACCAGGACGTATATTTTGATGAAAAATTGCTTAAAAAATAAAACTTACTGTGTATTTTTTAACCATTATTTCACATATTCCTGCTACATAATGGTTATTGTTCTCGACATTAGTACTTACACACGGATATACTTACATATAATTTTTTAATGTTTCTTTTTGCCTTCTTATACGATATCAACCAATATTTTTAAACATTGAATAATGTGTATAAATTTATACATGCTAAACGCGCGCTAGCCAAAGTCTTATAGTTGTTCGCACCATGCGTGTACAGTGTCAATAATGTTGTATCGTTTATGTGCTTCAGATGTGTTTAGCTCAGAACTCTTAAAGGATCTTATTGCGCAATTTTTTACATAAAAAAAGATGATCAATTTTTTTCTCAATATTTTACTATTATTATCAGAAATATGCTAAATATCGTGCATGATTAAAAAATTGGAAATACAATACAACAAATAACATTTTGTTTTGTTACAATGGAGATTTAACATATAAATGTGCATTTAAGTATAATATGTGGTGTGATTTTAATTCAACCACTTGTTATTAGAGTATACGTCATTTTGACTCGAATATGATATATTTAATTATACATAAGAAATTAACGGAAAATTATTACAAATCAAAATAATTATATTAAATATGATATTTGCCTTTCTTAAAATTTTAATTCCTCTGAAAGTCTATTTGCGCGCGTTTATTAGGTAACTTATAAATGACAATATTTAATGTTCGATTACTTCTTCTACATACATATATTTTTTTTTTAGATATTCATGATTCAAATGACACTTAAGCAATACCAATGTCGAGCAGCAAAATCACTCTAAAAGAAATAAAGATGCATTTGTAAGGTCATCTTAGAATCCCACATATTCAAATTAAAATTAACGGGACGATAAAAAAATTATCCTTGGGATACCCCTTGTTGCGTGCGTAGGGTCCTGTTAAGAGGCTACCTGGATTTTTTGGACCATTGTCGTCCTGCCATACAGTCACGTCCTTTCCTTTATAGAGATTTCTTAACAGCTGGCTTTATTGGTAATCCACGACAATAATACCGACGCCTGGTGCCGATGGTGCGGCATTCTCGAATCTACAGCCTCCTTCTTTTGTACCATTTTCTTGCCGTCTTAAGTGTGTGAGTGCTGACAGAGAGAGACGGACGGTACCCACGAGTAATCAATCAGGTAGAGACAGTACGCAACTAAACAATATCTGTTAGTTGGTAATATACAGAATGTTCATCAATAAATGTACTTCATTGCAACTATAAATTTCTTGATCGATTTTGAGTTTATTTTTACCGTCAACGAAAATATCGAAGGCGGTCATTGTTTATCGCAACCTTTTAATTTTTAACATTATATATTCAATTAGCTCCAATCTAAAGATCTATTGAAGCAAAATTTATTTACATATGATTTTATATTTCCTTGTTTCTCTAAAGCTTCTAAAGTTTTTAAAAGTATCTTCAGTTTTTCAATCGCTCATACAAAAAATTTTAAATATATTAAACTACTTTAAATAACATATAACATATATCGCATTTAACATATATCGCAAGTCCCACACAGTCCACACAGTTTTGATGTTAATTTAACATAACATAGATATGTTAAATGATAACACTAATATTATGTTGATATTTCAACACAAAATGAATGCAAACTTCATAGTAATTTGAAATAAATTTGGTGTAAAATTAACATATTTAGAATAATAAAATTAACTTAGAAAAATGTTATTGACGCTCTGTAATCACTCTTATTGTAGACTAAAATCAACATTTTTTCTGTAAATTTTAACAGATAAATTCTATCACTAATAATATGGAACATATATATACATATATCTATGATAAAACTAAAAATATGTGCACATTGTATTAATTGTACACTTTTCTCAGTTGTTTTAATAATTTAACATTTGAGTTCACACAACAGCAATATGTTAAATTAACACATGAATGTTAACACATAATTAACACATAAATATTTAACACAAAATTTTTAACCGGCATATTTTTTAACAAGAAAACACATTTTTCAACAATGTAGGAAAGCTCTAAATGTCTTGACATTTTTGCAAAGGAAAAAATCAATTCTAAATTGATCAAATCATTTACAGTTCGAAAAAATTGCTTTTAATGAGGGATATTCTGTATATTTTCTCTGTGTACAACGACATGTTGCATGTATGACATATATGGATGCGTACAGCGCGGATGTATATTTGAATGTGGGGAACGCTAGAGTATATCCAGAATCTATATTGTTGGTGTGTACAAATATATATATGGATATGTACGAGTATATATATATATACATACATATATATATATATGTATATATATGTATACACAGGGTGATTCAAAACAATCTGATGTCCTTGAAACATCATATTCTTGAACAAATTCTGAAACGATTTTTCCTTTTACGAAATTTTGACCGAAGCTTAATTTTTCAATTACAATATAATTGAAAATAGTTAACTACTTACGAGATCGATACAACGGACAGGCAGGGACGGTGCAACGCATCACGAGACTCACTTCACAATTTCACAATAAATATCACTGGAAAAATTACTGTTTTTACTGCAGTACTTTATTATCACTCGCAAATATCATTTTCCGCACAAATTAAGATATAAAATCCCACTATAAATACGACCAATTTACTATTATTATTTATAAAGAATAGTTCGTTTACTTTCTGACTCTTGTATACGTAGTTTTAATTTGTGCGGAATGAATATTTGCGAGTGATAATAAAGTACTGCAGTAAAAACAGTAATGTTTCCAGTAATTTTATTGTGAAATTGTGAAGTGAAATTTAATCGCGTGATGCGTTGCGCCGTGTCTGTCTGCCCGTTAAATCGGACTCGTAAGTAGCTAACTATTTTCAATTATAATTCAAAAACTAAGCTTCAAACAAAATTTTGTAAAAGGAGAAATCGTCTCAGAATTTGTTTATGAATATAATATTTCAAGGACATCAGGTTGTTTTGAATCACCCTGTATATATATACAGGGTGTCCCATAATTCGCGGATCACCCGCCATGTGCAGGTACGTCAATGTGTATGTACACGTGAAAGTTGAAAATATGTCTTGAAAATGTATTTTTAGCAGATTTATTTATTTATGTGTAGTAAATCGAAGGCATGGGCCGGGGGAAGAGGAAAAGGTAAAACTTAAAAGTTTGAAATATACCAAAGTACATGCGTGGACAGGAAGCATGAACACACACACACACACGGAGGGGGTGCAAGTGTGTGCACGCGCGCGCGCGTGCTTTATGTCCGTGCATGTACTTTGGTATATTTCAAACTTTTTTTGTTAATAACTTTTTAATAAGCAACGAGCGACGATTAAATTAGAAGAAAAAGTTACTCAGAATTATGTCCTTGACAATATATGTCAAGGCCAAGGTCATTGGGGCTGGGCCCCCTATTCGCTATATTTACCAATAATTGTTTTTAGGAAAAAGTATGTAATTATTTACAATGTATTTTTTTAAACAATTATTTGTTTTTTTTTACACTGATTGAGTTGTCTCATTATTCTGTACATAAAAGTATTACGGTAAGATTATCGAAAAGTAAATATTTTACAAGATATTTTATTTGTTATATCAAAATAAGTCAGATTAAAATATAAAATAACTCAAAAAGTACTTAATTATATATATATATTACTATATCTTTTAAATGATCTGACACAACGACGCCTGGAATTGCGCGCATAAATAGTCGTGTTACCGCTCGTCCGATATGCGGGCGGGGTGCACGATCCTATTATTATTCGGCTTTGATATGTTTTGTACTTCTAGAGAACGGCGATCCACCGTGTCAGTATCACAACGCGATCTTCCCATCCAAGGGCCTCGAATATTTCGTTCTCGAGTGCCTTGGACCTGGTATACCCACGGTAGCTCTCTACAAAACGGAGATGCCCGCGCCGCGACTCATCATGATATTGCAGAACAATACATTGTTACGCGTAAGTTCAGTTTCAAATTGTTCCGCGCATCTTTACGCGAAATACATTCTCTTTAAAGGATGTCGAATCTTTTACAAGCTGTATATACGCTGCAATATATTTTCAATATATTTTATGGATGTGTATATTTATTATAGGAAAAAGTGGCGAACATCGCACTTCCGCAGGTAAAAACATTTCCTGTACAGATAAGTGGCGGTTACAACGCCCAGGTGAGATTGCACTTACCACCTGGACTCAGAGAAGATGAAATTACGCGCTATCCATTGGTTGTTCAAGTGTAAGTAATTTTTACACACATCGTAGTTTATTATACTTGTACGTGTATTATCGTAAACAACGAATATTGAGTAAATTCGAAAAAATTGAACTCTTTAAGGATGTATGTGTCATATGTCAAAATATTGACAAAAGCACGAAAATTTCGTAGACTATTCTACTATTTCTTCTAAGTATCTGTGTAAAACCTGAGCAAAATTCTCTTAACGGTTTGGAAATTATTTATCAAACAACGCGGTAGCGTCACGACGCTAAGGACATTTAAAAATACTTACTGGCTTGCCAACAGTTTTGCCTATGTGCAGGGGCCGCGGCGCTACCAAATAGCTTATCCGGAGTTTTACGTCTAATAAACTTTCGATTAAAATACCTCAGGGACTAAAGCCATAATCAAAAATCTAATGGCACTTTTCTGATACAATGTGGATGCAAGCTTTCAATTGCGACCAGTTAAATAAGATTAGTGCAGTCAATCCTGAGGTATGATAATCGTATACCAGAATTGTGACATTTTAATTTTATAACTTTCAGACTCTCACGTACATCCCACTCGGCATGTAATATTTCTGATACATTGCTGCAATATTCCATTTGAAATATTACACCTTTCAACAATATTACAGAAATATTTCACGACCGTTTCTGCAACATTTCTGCAATGTTTCAATGTCCGCAATCATTTCAAATGCAACCTTGCTAAAAGATTTCAGCAATATTTCGGTAATATTACTGAAATATTTCTAAAACATATCCCAAGTAGCAAACTGACGTCATAATGACGGTAAATTTTGGTCACAGAATGACCACTTAGACATCCTAACTTAGGAGACCCAAAAATGATGTCGATATGTCACATCCACGAGACGTCATTTTCTGATGTTTGTTTGACGGCAAAACTGAAATCAATTATAATAATAATATATAAACACACATTAATGTGATATATAATTATAGATAAGAGGGAGAGCCATAGCGTGTAGAGGGGATATGCACACAATTATATTGTGTATGGAATGTCTCACTTTGTTGTCATTCATAGTGAGAGGCTTCGCGCTGCTAAATTAAACAATATGCTAAAATTAATGTATTCTTTAATACATTCACATTGCAGTTATTGCGATATAACTAAATTAAATATAATTCTAAAATAAATTTAGATCAAAATTAAATTTATTATTTATTGGTTTTAATATATAGGGCAAAGTAATGTAAAACCAGGTGCTTTTTTGGATTTGTCTTCCTACAAAAAATCTGAGAGTAAAAAAAATTTTGCCGACCGTTAGTAGTCTTTAGTGAACCTTAAACTATGAGAAAATAAAATACAATATAAAAATGTGTTCTATTGACAAAAATCGCAAATAAAGATATCCTCTTGTTCGACATTGCTGCAGGACTTCCTTATTTAACTTTTTAACTTTAGGGGTCTCAAAAAGCTTTTTTTTGGTAGTTTTTTTTCTGAGCGTCAGTTTTCGTTTCCAACTGCTTTTTGTAGGGATACAAAGTCAAAATAACAGTTCTTCCTCTTTTCATTATATGAGATATGTAAGTACCCGGTTTTACTCCAACACAAGGAAAGTAACAAATACGTCAGTTGTATATTCCTGCGTACAAAGTGCCGATCAAAACTAATATGATATACTCTCTAATATGTACAGAATGCAATGCTGCACTTACCGAAACAGATGCTCTATATAGAAAAAGTGCACGACAACTCAATTCTTGCCTCGATATCGATCTTTTTTGGGCTAAAAACTTTGAACTTCTATTAAAAAAGAAATATCGTGTGCACAGGGGCACGGTTTGTTTTAAAATAATGATGGCGCCAATCTACAACTAATAACACAAGTTAGCCATAGATAGCAGCATTT